CAAATAATTGTAAATATTTGATACACAATATGGCAATAAAAATAAAATTGAAATTTTCTGCCGTTGTTGTTGTTGCCTTTTATTATTATCATCGTTGTCGTTTTCGTCCCGTGGAGTCGTCGTAAAGGAAATTGATACATAAGTCATTTTTATTGGCATATTCTTTTGTGTAATTACGGCGCAGGTAATTTAAATTTCCTGCCCTTTTTCAGTTAGCTCTCTTTCTCTCTCTCTCTCTCTCTCTCTCTCTCTCTCTCTCTATCCATAAGTCTCTCGCTTTCTCTTTCGTTCTTTAATGCTCACTTTTTGAGTGATGGTACTTCCTGAAAAATTTTACACAATAGCTTTTTTCACAATTTGCAATCATTCGAAAAATCATTGAATATAAGATAACTAATGGGAAATTTTATTTATTGTAAATTTTGTTTTTGTGTTTCATTAATCGGAAAATGTACTTAAGTATGAGTAATATTATGCTATATATTTATGTTATATTATTATATAGTAAGATCGTAAATAATTTAATTCAATTTACAGCAATTAAGCATTATCTTGAACAACAAATTTCAAGTTGTCTTTTTGTTTGTAACAGGCAGAAGGAATCATATCTAACCCCACAAAGTCTTTATATTATCATTTAGGATTAACTGCCAAGATATAGCCACGTCTATGTCTGTATAAACAAAAGGATCTCAGAGACTATAAAAATAAGTTACTACAAATTTGAAATATGAGCTCTCCTATAACATGCACAAATCAAGATCAATCATTTTTTCTTATCGATAACAGTCCATCATCTGGCGAATATCAATACAAATCGATTGAAGGCATAGCTTTCCAATGGATATATACAAATTTCCACGAGATCAGACAAGAAACGCCCAAAATTATAGTCAAATTTGGCAATTATACTAGAACAATATATTTAATACCTGGGTTTAGAGTATCTCGTAGTCGAGCTCACTCGACTATAGCGCTTTTACTTGTTTAAAGGTAGATAGCTCCATCAATTGGCAAAACATTTCCTGTTACAATTTGCCAGCTGTCTGCCTTTTAAGAGTCTTCGGATGGTTATTGTTACGGCGTCTGACAGACAGACAGATAAATCCGAGAAAGTGGGCACAGCGGGGGAATAGAGAAAGCCATAGTATAATTAAATCAAGAAGTGTAAATGTAAGCATTCCAGCAAAGGATGCATTACATCGAATGCTTCTGTTGGCCTCGTATAAATACAATTGCAATTTTTAGTGAAATGAAATCGAAAAGTGTATGTAAAAATGGAATGGAATGAAATGAAACCCTAAAAGCTCTATAAAATACAGTAGACTGTCAATTAAAAATGAGAGCCGCTGTCGAGTAGATAGTGGGTGGAAGGGAAACAGGAAGCATAGGCAAGCACAGGGGAGTTGGAGTTATCCTGGCAAAGAGTGTCAAACGAGCTTGCAACCCGAGCAGTTGAAAACTAACGGTAGCTGCTTAGAAATGTGGAAATGGCGCTTTCTTTTCATTTCATTTGCGTCACTTTCGCTTTAAAAATATATTTTAAGTAATATTTATGTGTTTTTTTTTTATTTATTTGGTTTTCTTCTTTTGGTCACCAATTAATTTTTATTTATGTGCTTTGCGTTTTTAGCTGGGTTTTGTTTTTTTTATTTTATTTTTTTTATGTCGTATGTCCCCTTATCAAACAAACAGTTGGCAAAATGATAAATGCCGTTGCTTTTGTTTAAGTCCACGAAACACCCCTTGCCTCAGCCCCCTAGCCCAAAGCACACCCATTTCGTAATTTAATATTTTTGCAGCCAAAACATGAACAAAAAAAAAATACAAAAAATATACGAGAAAAATGATATTTCAGAAGAGCGAGCGCTGCTAAAAAATGACAATTTTTAATTATCAAATGCGTTTAATGATAAAAATTGTTTATTATGGGCATGGGGTTGGGTATGGTGGGCCGACTGGGGTGGTTGGGGTTGTGACGCTTTTTACTTGGCCGCCACTGCGTCTTGGCTTTTAATTTATGATTTATTTGTGTGGGTGGCTCGCCTATAATAATTAATATTGCCCACAAGCAAAAGACACCTACAAACACTCCCCCCTCCAGCAGCCACCCTCCACCCTCCACCCACCACCCGACGCAACGGCAGCACTCCAGCACGCTCTCCTACACTTTCAGCCAGCAACACAATCCCTGAGGAAGCCAGCAAGCAGCAATGCAGCGACAGAGGCAGCGAAGTGTGGCTGAGAGTGGGAAGGGGAATAGAGGGGGGTAGGAGGGGGGTGTGGGCAAGTGGCAACAGCTCCAGAGCCGGGCAAACGCAATATTTTCATAAATCTTTTTGCCGCGACGACAGAGCAGTAAGTGCAATGTCATTGAGGCAGAAGTGGCAGCAAGTAGCGCGGGGAATAAGCAACACACATCTACACACACACACACACACATGCTGTTATCCCTTCCGTAAGACAAAACCCAAGTGCGCCCAAGCCAACATCTTCTTCCATGTCGACGTTACGACATCTTGAGTCAGGTACAGAAGGAAAAAAAAGAAACGGAAAAAATGGAAAGAAAAAAAAATTAAAAGTATTTCTCGAATTATTGTTAATGATGATTAAAAATATGTGTACCTACATAATACACAGTACACCTCAGCACACAAACACTCCTCCTTCGTCTTCTTCTTCTTCTGCTCCATCTTCTTCTTCTTCATATGTGGGAGGCGTAATCACAAACAGATTTTGAGGCCTGGCAACGCTTCGCAGCGTTTCCCCAAACGTCCTCGTCTTTAGCTTTGACTTGAACTGAGTGTTAACTTACCATTAGAGCTGACTTAATAAAAACAATATGCAATCCAAATTCACATCCACTTCGAATTTTGTATGCCCTAAGAATAGACAGACGACCAAGGACTGAAATATGACATAGTTTGGCATACGATTTTTATTATAATATCTATTAATATTGCTCTAACACCTTGGTAGTTAAGAATAGACATGAAGAACTAAATATGTATTTATTCCAAGTTTTAAGTCTCAAGGCTTAAGCAAAAACTAACTCCAACTCAGTCTAAATTTGGTGTACAAGCATCTAGTTTTTAAAGTAATTAAGATTTATGTATTATTTCTTATGCTAAGCCTTGTATTCATTTTTAAAATAAATGAACATATCAAAAACAAAAAGAAAGGACATCAAAGCGATTGGTTTGCCTGTTGTCGCAACATCATTTGAACCGACTTAAAAGTAAGCAAAGATCGACTTACTTCTGAGAAGAGTTTACAGATTAAGCTATTTCCTATGCGTTTTGGGATATCATATTTTAGCTCAGGTCGGATGTGGCGTCATCATTGTATACCCATACATTCTTAATATGTTACTTGATTACTTTGAGAAACTTTTAACAGTTTTCGCATATGCAAAGGTGAGTAGCAATGTGTTGGAGTGAGATGGGATGCAAATGTGGTTCAGCTGGTTTTTTTTTTTTGGAAATGCCAATTCAAGTTGTGAATTCAGTTTCTGCATCAACACCTCGTCTAATTGAAATTTGCAATTGCAATTGCAATTGCTGCCGTTGTTGCACGCTGTGCCATTTGTCATTGACAAGCAGAGTGGCAACGCTCAGCATATGGCAAGGCTCTCCAAATAACGCGCATAATGATAGCCAGCTACCCTACTCAATCCTCACCCTCACGTTGAGCACAGCATGCAAAAGGGCTGTGAGTGTGGCGAGAGGGTGGGGGCTTGGGGATTGGTTATGGGCTTTGCAGTGGGTTGTGTTTTTGCTAAAAAGGATTATCTGTTCATTACAATCCATTGATTCCACTTAAGCACCGTTACAATTGCACACACACGACACACACACACACACACACACACACATAGTACTCGCACACGCAGAGCTAGAGACACAGCCACATACGACACTTAATTAACAAATATGCATTACAAACACCCGCAACGAGCAGCAATTGGTTGGTCATGTCATCAGTTCCCCGCACCTAAAAGCCCATACCCCATGAACCCCACCCCCCTCCCCCCCTCCCTCCTCCTCTGAAGCGCGCAAACACACACACACACACAAATGCCACAGCATTTTCGCAAATCGTATGCGGATGGCTTTTTATTTGCCTCGTCAGCGTCAACCACCCGCGTGGCAGCAGCACCAACAGCAAAATCAGCATTTGCGGCAGCAGCAACAGCAGCAACCGTTGTTGGGCCTCATCAGCAATTGGGGAGTTGTGTTGCATGTGTTTAATTGAAAAATCATATGCAGCGCGCATAATTATGTTTATTGCAATAATCTGATGCAAATTTTCAAAACTCAAACTGAATGCTTTAGACGACGCCCCAAGCAGGCAGCATGACAACCCTGATACCAACACCAACCCCACCCCTGTTTGTACTATCCGTTACTGGTGTTGTTGTTGTTGCATTTGGCTGTTGGTGCACATTAAATTGCACTCCAAATTGCACATTTCAACGCCTACTGATTATGACAGATAATTATGTTATCGAGTGTTGCCACACGCGAATGTTGCCCCTTGTCCAACAACCGTACGATGCATTCACGATCCCTTGATGGAATCATATGTGTTTTAAACATAAGCATACGTTTCTAGCTCTATAAGATATACATATATATACATATTTGGTAGCAAGATCTATTGCTTGTCAAACAACAAGGTCTCTAGAAATATGTTTTAGATGTCTTGCCACGAACTGAACTGATCTTAAGCAAAAGTATCTTTATACATATTGTCTTATTTATTTATATATTATCATCGAATCGATATTATTTAATTGATCATACAAATATGAATAAAGACACATAAATATGCAGATCAACTGATAAGAGTGTGAAATGCTTATATTTGTTTTTGGATTGGTTTCATTTCACTCTCTGAAATGCTGAGAAAGTTTTACAGATTAAGTTGAAAATTTTCGCAATTTGAGATCAGAGACACCATATTTTAGGTCAGTTGCAGTACAGAAAGGATTCTTTGTGTTGGTCTTTAAAAGCGAAAGAAAATTATATTTGAAAAAAAAACAAGGAAGGTGTTTAAGCTACAGTTGGATATAGGTTTATATGTAATACGCTTGCAGTGCCAAATGGATCCACCCAAAACAAAAAAACATCAAAATTACAAGTAAAAAAAATAAGCCAAGGCTGTTTTGTTAGGTCAATGTGACAGAAGCGAAAATACCGGCAACGGGAATTTCATTATCCAAAATATTGAGCTCCAGCAGATAATCGCCCTTGGGTGCATCATCGGGCAGGAATGTGGTTGCGAGCTGGTAATTTTCGATGGTATATTTGCCCTTCGGAAATGGACAATCGCCCGGTACGGGCAAATTAGATACCTCCAGCAGATACGGATATGTGTCCTCATCCTCGTTGACAAACTGACAGAACGGTTTGTTCATATTCATGACCAAGGGTCCCTTTTGTTTGGCGCTCTCAATGTAGGTGAACACTTGAAGTGATATCTGTGAACAGATGTTTCAATTCAGCCAATATCGAATGAGTAATGAGTAAATGTATGTGGCTAAATGTGGCTCACTTTCTGCTCATTGCCCATATTCCGTTTGAGCTCGAAATCCCCGTCCAAGGTGTACTGATTACGGCCCACTTTCTTCATACGCAGCGTGTGCCAATCCATCCATTTGTCATCGTTCTCAAAATTTGTGTTTCTGTCGAAGGAGTTGAGTTCCACGCTATAGCTCCTATCCTCAGCACTGGCGTACACCAGTAGCATCAGTCCAAAGACCAGCAGGCCCACAATACTAGTCATTGTTTGTTAACTGAAATGATTATCGCTTCACGGCAGACACACTCTTTATATATTAAGTTGGCTAGTTTCAAGCTGTTATCTCACATGCAATATCATTGTAATTTATTGGACATAATTGGAACTTGTTGATAGATTGTGTTAAATGTATATACACAAATTTTAATGAAGTACATTGTGAACGAATGTATAATGTTATTGTATATAATTCATGGATTATTCAATCCAATTCAACCCAATCTAAAGCTATTTATCTCACACTGGTTACAGTAAAATTCAATGTGAACTTATTATCATAGCACCAATAAAAATTGATAAAGTGTATAATAGATATAATGGTTTATTAAGAAACATCCAAGCTATAGTCGAAAACGTGTGTGTTCGTCGCAAACTTGTGATTTCAGTTCGTGCTAATTATTTTTTTCTCTTCACTGTATTTGCCTTGTATAAGAAATGAGAGCGTTTTAACACCGGCTTACATTTGGGTGTGCGAAAAGTTTTTAAATGGAATAGAATATATTTCAAGCTGGGTTCAGGGTATATCGTAGTCGAGCTCACTCAACGACGATATCCCTCCATTTTCATTCGTAACTATAAAAAAGAAGAAGAGCTTTTGTTTCAATTTTATTTAGGTTCGAAACAAGACGTTTGTATTTTCTTCCTTTAGCTAATATTCTATTTGAAATTTTAGCCGAAATTCACTAAATTGCCAGTACAGCCCCGCCCCCCCGCAACGCGCCTGTACAGTGAACTGGCTGTTAACTTTTCAACAAGGCCGAATTCCTTTTAGCTGGAATTCCCGAACAATTTTATGCCAACTAATCTCTTAACACTCTATTGAGACATGTAAACTTTTAATAGCATTTGCTGTTCCAAACTCTGTTCAGCCGCATTATATTCTGTTTGGTTTTTGGTCTGGGTACTCCTCGGGCTTCAGCTGGCCTGGTTGGCCTGGTTGGCCCTGCCTGGTTGGGTGGCATGTCCAAAAGTTTTTGGAGCTCTCTTTGCTTGTTTTATGGCCTGCAGCAGTGTTCGTGTTTGAACATCAAAAGTAATAAATTCATCGAACCAAAATCTTGCACGCCAACCATTGGTGACGGCAGGTGGCAACGTCAAAAGCTGCTTCAGTTTCGCGTTGTTGGTGTTGCTGTTACTGTTACTGTTGCTGTTGTTGTTTTAGGTCGCGCCTTTACTATACTCAATAACTTCCGCCGGGAGACTCCCCTCCCGCTTCCTTACCCTTAAGGCATACAGCAGAGTTGTACGTATATTGGCGCCTGCCGTTCATTTAACTGACCCATCCACTCTCAGTCCTGCACCCTGCACCACCCACTACCAGGTTCTGGTGCTGCAAAGTTATTTAGGTAACTGTCTTGACTTGTTTTTGCCTTTGCATTGATTGTATTACATACAGGAAACTTATTCTCAATAAATATGCATGTTGTAACCGGAACCCTAAACGTGTTTGCTCCGAACTTTTAAGCAAGCTTTTGGAGCAGTCCAATGCATATTTACTTATTGTATTTCGTGTGCAAGGAATCGTAATTCGTATTGTGGTTAGTTCAATTCACACTCATTCTAACATAAGGAAAGGCAAAATATTTTTAAAAAAATTCACTGCACTTTTGAAAGTTGAATGCTTTTGAACCAAAACCAAATCAATGTAGCTGAACACACTTAAGTTCAAATTTGTATCCTAATAAAAATCATTATTGGAAGAGATAACTGGCGAATAATAATCCTTCTTCTAAGATATAGCATGTTCTTAAAGAAAACTCCATACAAACAAATTTAAAGTCATTGTCTTCTTGATATTTTAAGACTTCCATCTTCGAGAACAAAAACTCTCAAAAGATCTAGAATAACTCTGAAATCTACTCCAGAATAACGCAAAGATCTATGCAAATCAGACGTGTTGCACATTTTTTGGAGGCAATCGTGAAATGTATACGAATTTTGGACCGCTTATATATATATATACATATATACATATATATATTTATATATTTATATATATATATAGCGCGTGCTTGTTCTTTATCAAAGTAGATTTAATTAAAGCAATGTGTGCAATAATTACAATCAAGTATAAACTTCAGATACCACAAAAGAGAAGCAAGCAGAAAAAGGAACCATTGGCTAAAGTGGAGTCACGTAAGCAAATGCAGAGCGTGTCATTTCAATAAAGGCCGCCATTGGCAGTGCTCAATGTTCCTGCTGGGGTTCATAAAAAAAAGTGCCAGAAGCGAAAGTGTGTGCGTGTGCGTGTGTGTGTGTGTGTGTTTGTGCGTAGGACGACTGTATGTTAAAAGAATTGCAGAGAAATTAAAATAAAATAAAATTTACGTTGAATTAAAAATACGCAGGCAACGGCAGCAAAAGAAACAACAACAAACAGCGAACAGCGAACTGCGAACCAAATAACTGGATCTGAGAGCCGTCGACTTCGTGACTTCATTTGCTTGACACTTACGACGGCGGCAAGTAAAGTGACAGCGGACGGCGCGACGCGTCGTCAGAACGGGGTGATAGGTGACGGACGGCAGGGGGGGTTTTGCCGTTAGCTGTTGCTGTTGCTGCTGCGGCGTCAAGTGTGTGTGTGTGTGTGTGTGTGTGGGCGAGCGAGGGGCGAGCCGGAAGGCGAAAGGCACTGAAGAAAAGGCTGCAAACGATTCCTAATTGAAAACTATTAAATTCTGTCTTCTTTTTTTTTCGCGCGCGCTCTCTGCTACTTAATTTCTTCTTTGCGCCCGCCTTCGCGGCTGTCGTTCGTTCGTTAGTCCAAATTGGAACTTGAATTTCATTTCGAATGACATTCGCTCCATCACGCGTCAACTGCAGCCAGCGTCGGCAGCGCACGTAGCGGCAGCGGCAGCGGCAATGGCAAACGGCAAACGCAAAAAAAAAATAAAAGAATAATAAAAAAAAAATTAAAGAAAAAAAAGCGGACATTTTCATTTGAGCATATTTAATTAGATGCAATTATTTATGGTATTAAATAGATGAGGCAGTAAATGTGCTGTATACTGGCATTCGCTCCACACTGCTTGCTCTCTCTCTCTCTCTCTCTCTCTCTCTCTCTGTCTCTCTCTATCACTCACTCGCTGCTCAGCTCTGAAAAATGCAAAATAAGATAGAAAAAAGGAAAAAATTGAAATAAAATGCTAAAGAATTGCGACGTCTTCGTCGTCGTTGGTCTGTACTATAAAAAAAAAAAAAAAAACAGAAAAAAAAATTTCAATTCCTGGCACAATTTCTGCAGCAATGCCACGCCCACGCCCACACCAAGGCGCTGCGCATCATTTACCAACACAACCATAACAATGAGCCGTGCCCAAGTCGCTGGCGGGAGATTGGGAATAGGAATGGACAGGGGTCGGGGTAGGGTTAGCAGGGTGGGCAATAGGATCCTGTCGCTGGGCACTTGGCCGAAGGAGTGCATTTAAATGGCAGGAAATTTGAAAAAAATTGAAATTTAAGTCTTTGATATATTGAAGTCGATTTATTTGCCGCCTTTTACCACACCCAAGTGCTAGTCATTTTTTTCAGCGACTTTAACAATTTTTTTCATTTTCGGCTTGCTTTCCATTGTCTGAAGAGCAACACGGTGGACTGCTCCTGCAGCAAATGGTGTCCACTGAGTGTCGTCAATCGCACGGCATTCACATTTGGTAAATGTCTGCAGCTATCCCAAGTGAAATTGGCCCAAACAAGCCATTCGACTATAGAATTAATCCGTTAAGCTCTAAATTAAGATATTTTTAATACTGTCTTAAGAGTTTCAGTTTGCACAATGTGTATTCAAAAATATTGCATTCATATTTTCAATTGCATAGTTCTAGGCGAAAATCCAATTAGATCATCATATAAACTGACTAGCAGATACCCTATACGTTAATAAAATAAAATTATTTGTTTTCCTTACATAAACCAAATATCGTATATTTTATTATAATGATTACAGCCAAAGCTAACGATTCGATCAACGCAATACAGACAAGAAGAGGAGGCCGCCCCAAATGGTGGGAGGGGGTGGCAGTTAATAGTGCGCGACCATGCCATGCCAGTCAACCCTTTTGCACCTTCTGCTGGGCGGGCAAGCGGGCGACAACAAGCGACAAGACAAATCACACACAAATTGACAAACGTTTAATATAATTTACACGGCAAGGCCAAACGACTTACGCTTGACCACGCCGGGGAGTACGGAATGCGTGTCCGGGTCATGTACATCGTCCCATGTCCCAATATTGACCTAATGGCCCAAATGGTCAAACCCTTGTCAACGTTGCGTAACCGAAACTATTAAAAATATCAACAGACACTGCTGTTGGGAGAAAAGCACACCACAAAAAAAAATTGAAGAAGAAAACCCTGAAACTGAAACCGTTGGAGCTGGATTGTCATTTTTCACACGTTGAATGGCGTTACATATGTTCATGGTCAAATCGATTAAATAAATCATTAGCATCTTTTGTAGCCAATTTTCTTGCGCTTTGCCCAACATTTTTTTCTTTCGCTTTCGCTTTCGCTTTCCTTTTCCCTTTTTTGCCGCCCTTTTGCGGCGCGTGTCGCAAGTTTTACGAGTATGCTGTCCGTGTGTGTAGAAAATTGTTTTTTAATATGACCAAGTGAGGTCTGCTTGTGGCCAAGGGAGTATGCTTTTTGTGTGTGCTCAAGTGTGCCCCAACCCCAGCAACGCCTCCGCAATCCTGCATTTCACAAAACTGAAACTTGACATTTAATTTGTTGCGCTTTTATTATGGAACATAGACTTGTGGCTTCAGTGGCGCTGCCGACCAGCTAATTTATTATCGCACCACCCAATAAGAAGAAATCCACCGTCTCCCCCAATTGCCCAACGATTTCAATTGCAATCTATGGGTATGTCATAGTTGAAACCTTGTCCAAATGCCCTCACCGAGCAGGAATCATGCAGATTTGCCAGATGGGTTAGCGATTTTATTTAGTTATTTAGGATTCTTTTTGTACCATTGTCGCTGTGTGTGAACCAACTTGAGGGA